GCGGAGCGTGGAGCGGTTAGAGGCGACTGCGCATGTTCCAAAGCTTAACGGGAAGTACATACATATGTGTATATAGAGTGTGTGTGTGTGTGCTGTATATAGGAAGAAATTTGCGTTGAAACAGTTATGCGAGAATCAAGAACGAATGGAAAATGTCGCCATTTTTATTGTGCGGGGAAATTTCTAGTATAAATGAGAATTAATTTATTGCACTTCCTGGCATATTCCTGGTGCATATAAAATGTTGGATATAGATGAAATTCGGTAGAAACTAACCCAATAAATTACATGATTTTTACCATGACTCAAATCGATATTGCCGCTCTTTCCTATATGCAGCCCCCCCAACCCTATTCATTGCCATATCAATTTCATTCAACAATTTGTCGACTATTAACTCACCCCGCACTGCTCCTCTCCACTGACCAAAAGACCAAACTCCAGCGGGGAGTATCTTTTCCCACCTTTCGCTCAAAGCCATTGTTGGGGTCTCTCTGGGACTGGGACTGGGACTGAGAAATGGGTATGGGGCATGGGTATGGGGCATGGGGGCCACCGTTGTTATGATACCTATTAACGCTATTATTATGAAAATTTTCAGCATCATTGATTTTTGTTACCGATTTTCTAATTTAACCAAATTATTGTTTATTCCCTCGTCGTCGTTTCCCATTGATTTATTTCGATTTTTGTCTTTCGTTTGCGTGTTTTTTTTCGTTGTTTTGTTTGTCTATTTTTGGGAGTTTTGTTTCACTTTTGCTTCCCCACCCCCCCTATGCGGGATAGCTCTGTGTTGGAGAGGGGAATCGGGTTTTCTGTTAACTGGTTGCGTAAATATCTCTTGGCCTCAATGAAATGCCTCCGCACTCACACTCCACTCCTCTCCACTCCTCTCCACTCCACTCCAATCCTCCCCTCCCATAGATACCAAATGGAGGCTCTTTTTCCTCAATGAAATGCCGAAAATTAGCATAATCTCTATCTCTGGTGGCTGTGCCTTTCTCGCGTTGGGCTTACACTGTCCAGCAGCGGTTCTGGGTGCCACGGCAGGTGTGATGTTTCCATGGAAAGTAAGAGTTTAAATATCTGTGATTCGATGTTGTGCAGTGTGTGGCAGCAGCAGCAGCAGCAGCAGCAGGCGGCAGGCGGCACTCGAGGAGGGAAAATAAAAGCGAAACCTGTTCGAATTTTAAACGAAAATCTTGTTGGACATGATGTTGCCCCCTAAAGAGGTGTGCAGGTTGGGGCATAAGGGTGATGCGGGGGGGAGGGGGGAGGGTTATTTGTTTGTTGGTGTCAAAGCTGTCACATATTTTATGAAGCTGCAGCGGCAGCGGCAACAGCAACGGCAACGGCGGCGGCATGCAGGCGGTTCAAGGGGTCACCGAGCATACAGCTCGGAAACTGTGTGTGCCCCACACGCATTCATCTTGCCTCTCTTGCGGCTGCCCCTCGCTCTCTGTTGCACATGCATTTTAATTTCCCAGTTGTTGGTAATTGCCTGGCCCGTCCCCTTGGGCCATCATGCCGCATTTGTCCCAAGCCGTGGCTATGATTTCTGGCCCAAGCCCAGGCACACCAGGCACAACAGTTTCTGGCCGAGTCCGCGTCTGAGTCGTGATTGCAATTGGCAGTCGCCTCCAGAGAGTGCAAGGGAGAGGGAACGAGGCCAGACATACATATGTTAGCCTTATAATTTATGCCCCTGGTTTTTGTGCTGTGAGTATTTTCTGTTTCTGTTTTTTATTAATTGTACAAACCGATGGTCAAAATATGTCTGCCCTCGAGGTACACATTTCGGTCTTACTTTTATTTGATTTTATAAGAGTTATTCTCACTATCTTTGATTCTACCTATAATATATATATATATATATCTCCCATAGTGTTTGTGCCCCTGCTGACAATTCATTTGTAATTATATAGAATTGAGAATTTGCCCAAGGTTGCCGGCCAGATAATTTATATGTCACTGTTAAAATTAAATGCACTTAACACGAGAATTAAACAAACAGTTAAGTTAAACAGTTAATTGAGTAGCCAATTCTCTAAGCTTTTGTTTAATTAAACTCATTTGGGTGGATCGTTAAAATAATTCACATTCTGGCGAGAGGGAGAGAAAGATATTCCATCCGTTCCATAATTAAGTGAAATTAATTAAGCGAATATCCCAAAAAGGAAAGTAAATTCTAAAGGCTAAAGGCATCCAAGAACAAGCTCTCCTCCATTACAAATTGCACCTTTGGATTCCGCAGATCCAATGTCTCTCATTCCCATGGAATTTCTGTCATATTTTTCCACCCATTTACCAATCACTAAGCGCTTTTATCTATCCTCTAATTAAATGCTGGAAAATCAATGCTTAATTGGACAGTCAGTCGATGGACTTTTGAATGAGCAGAAAAGAAAAAATAAATAAAAATAAACTCGGCAGAAAAAAACTTGAAAAATGTTAAACAGTAGCAGAAACGTCTGTCTGGTCTGTCGGGTCTGTCTGGTCTGTCTGGTGGTGATGTCTGGTGGCATTTTAAACTTGCCACACAATCTGCATACAGCAGACATATGTACAGCCATGCAGCCATGCGGCATATGAAGGAGAGTCCATTTGGGCCTGATATTTGAATGCTAGTCAACGCGAAATAGATATATGCCAAAAGATTTTGACAGGCCAACTATCAATTTATATCGTTAATGTGGCAGACTCTCGTTTCGCTACGTTTCGTTTCGCTTTTGCCTGCCTGCCTGCCTGCCTGCCTTATTTCTGTGGCAATATTTGGGCTGGCTGGCTCTCTGCGGCTCTCAAATTGAAGCTAATTGAAATGTCGATAAGGCAAACGTTTTGACAGTTCGACAGCTGCCCAAAAACCAAAAAAAAACACAACAACAACAAAAAAAGAGTAACGTTCCAGCTGTGGAAAATGTCATTTGGAAGAAGTTACTGCGCTGGCCCACATTGCGTATACGTAACCGTTGACTCATTGTCTCTCTGTCGCACTGTCTGTCTGAGGCGGCGTTCTAAGCACACGAATATGCCGCAATTTGACCCAGTTTAACTCGACAATAAGAACAGCCACAACCACCGAGCACATGAGTCATGTGGCACACAGAGCTCTCCCAGCTATGGATGTCCCCAGCAGCAGGCAGCAGCTGCGACGACTCCTTTGAAGCTTGTGCGAAATTTATGCGCACAATATGCGAAATTTATTGTAATGACAATCGCTTAGTGCATAATTCTCCAGACACTGTAGCTCCCGCCTCCCCCCAGCTCCACAGCACACTTTGTGAGCAGGAAGCGGGCAATCATTTCGGCTTGTTTTGCCATTTGTTTGGGGTTTTATTTTGGATGCAGCTGCTGCTGCTGCTGCTGCTCCAATTGACGCCCACCTGCACAACGAACGGTCTGAGGGGAGCTGAGAAGCTGCCTTTGACGTCAGAGTGGGCTGGTGAGCGACTAAAGGCAGACTAATCGGCTTGAGTGGGTCCATAAATCCCACAGGGATGCCCATGTACCAAAAGTACCAGAGACACAGAGAATGAGGGGAAACACCCAGTCACCAAAAGGGTATCCAAAACGGCGCTCTACAAAGAAGTTTTCGTAGCAAAAGATAGTCACCAGAGGGAGGTCTCAGACTATCCAAAGAGTTTACCCAATCCCATGGAAAAATCAACTTTGCTCTCGGCGCAAAGTCTCTACAAAAAATGGCACAAAAATCGTCTATAATATATCCCATACTATTGCGTATATATAGACACTCTTATCGCCTTGATTTGAGCATCAAATCCACATGAATGCACAGGTCAAAAGTGTATTCAAAACTCCATTCAAATGGAAGCTGTTGCCTTAGCCTGATTCCAAAGGGAAAGTCGCGTTCATATATAGGCGAAATATAAGCCAACAATGTGCGGCACAGCCCTGGAATCCTTTTGCAACGCAGGTCACAGCCTCTGCAGCTTACAGCTTCCAGCTTCCAGCTTGGAGTGGCTGTTGTTGTGCTTTCATTTTCATTGAACAATGTGCATCATTAACGCAAAATGCTGCCTCGGCTGCTGCCGAGCTGCCTTTTCGTTAACAAAAGCGCAAATATTTTAAGCTTACATTTCGGTTTTCAGTTTTTAGTTTTTTTTTCGCATTTTGTTTTTCTTGTTTGTTATTTTTACAGCAAATATTCAGAGAGTGAAAAAAAATATAAAAAAAAGTCTTAATGAAGTGCGATTCAGATTCACTTGAGTCCTAATGGGTACGCAAGGGGAGCGAAGGGGAGGGGAGGGGAGCATGCTCTTACGTGTATTTTTGTGGTCATGCCAAATGAGGAAGTTTCAAGCGTTTCGGCAAGTGTCTGTCTGCCCCCTCGCACCCGCCTGCCACCACTCCTCCCTTTGTGCAGCCACTCATCTGGGACTCACGTGCGACAACACAGTCGATGGCTGGAAGTTTGTTTTTTCTGATTTTTTTTTGTGGGCTGGTCTCTCCCTCTGCCCATTTTTGGCTTTGGCTTTTCGGCTTTTCTGCTGCCGCTGCTGCTGCTGCTACTCTTTTTGGGGCTCTGCATTGATTAACGCATTTCTTTGGCCTGCTGCTGCTGCTGCTGTCCCCCATTGTCCCGCTTCAACAATTGTGGCTCCAGTGTTCCCCCTGTCTGTCGGTTTGTCCGCCAGTGGGGCTGCTGCCGCTGTTTTGGCAAGTGATTTATGCCGCCGTTGGGGGACTGGTAACGTGACACATTGAGGAGACACATTTGTAGCTAATAAGTTTAGTGGCATAATGAATGGCATTTGAAAAGGTCCATTGAAACCGCTGCGGAATCGGGAATTGCTGCGGCAGGGGAATACGATTGCAACACATTTGAAAATGAATCATTGGCGCTCCAATCTGGGTTGCAAGAATTAAAAGTGAACTCATTTTTGGCTTGAGAGTTTAGGGAATTTCATATGCGAATTCTCAATGGAGCAAAGTTTGAAAATTCTATTAAATATCTAAGCTATGGGGCAGGAATTTCCTACCTTTTAATTAGCTTTCGATTGGCTTTGAGCCCCTGCTAAATATCCTTAGTTTTTTGTATAGCCATCCATCTGTTTTAGCCAGACTTCAATCAGGGCGCTCCTCCCGCCCTGCTCCATCTGGTTTTATTTCTTCCTGTTGCAGCCTTTAAGCCCTTCAAATAAAGAGTCTGAAAAATACATTTTGTCAGTGAAACACAACGCAAGTTAATTTTTTTAAAGACTCGCACGCGTCTCCCCGAGCCAAGCCGAGCCAAGCCGAGCAGCAGCAGCAGCACACGCCAATGCCAATGCCAGAGAGCGACAGGGCAGGCACACACACCTTCCATAAAGGTGTTAAAATGTCGGGCTCTAAAGGGCGCAGACACTGCCAAAGGACAGACATGCCACGGGAGTGGAGTAGGGGCAGGGGCACGGGCCAGAAAGGTGGTTAATAACCCGAACGCTAATGAAAAAGACACTGACAAAAAAAAAATAAAGGGAGATGGATTGGGATATGGATGAGGTGCACAAGGTGGCAGGCGGCAGGCAGCAGATGAACTCCAATTTGAGGGTTGAGGGTTGAGGGTCTGCCACGAACGGACTGGCATCATTATCAGCGCGGAGGAGGGTTGAGGGTCGGGTATGATATGATATGGGGGCGAGGGCGTTCGACTAAATTTATGATGATGATCTAAATTTTGATCAGAGTTGATGAATGTGCTGCCAGAGAGGGAGGGGGAGAGAGAGAGAGACTTGGGAGTGGAATTTGCAGCTGCCCCTATTAAAAAGATGACCAGGCAACATTTGATTTTTTTAATGGACTTTTAAGAAAACGAACCCAAAGATAGAGCGAGTGAGAGAAAGAGAGAAAGAGAAAGAGAAAAAGGAAGGTAGATAAACGTTTCATGCTTTTCTTTTAACACCTTTTTTTGGTCGAGAGATGTTTTTTTTTTTTCTCTGTGGCTAATGTTTGCCCTTCCACTTAGCGCCTCTTTTACGATTAGAAATCATTACGAGTGCAGCAAGGGAGACCTCATTTAATTATTTAAACGACACGAGCACAGCAGATAAGAGAGAGAAGTACAAGAGAGACAGAGAGACAGAGAGAGAGAGAGAGAGAGAGAGAGCTAGATCCATTTATGTCAAATTGACACCTTCTCGAGGGGCCGTCTCCTGCTCTTAAATTCACAGATTCATCTTGGAGTTTAGCTCAGATACTGCCACAGATACATCTCTTCGCTCTCTGTGGATATTTTCCCTGCTTTAATACACTTTAAATATTTATAAGCTTGGAATCTTTTGTACCTATAATTGATGGGCTCTGCTGCTTTCTGGCCAAAGAGGTGTTACAAGGAGGTGGAGAGAGGCTGCAGCGGGCAGCAGACACACTGATATTTCTAGCTGGCAGTGCAGCCAGATACAGCATCCCCGCTGTGCCAACAAATTGGGGCGACTGGCGACAAGCAAATAAACCAAATCAGACTCTAAGCGCGGCATGAACCACCACCACCAGACACCAGACTTCCTCCTTGTTGCCTCTCTCTGCTGCTCTCCTGCTCGCGTGTAAATGATTCTCGCTGTGGCATGTCCCATGTAAAGGTTGCAGCACGAGTGTGTGCAACAGGTAGCTGCATGGCCTGTCAATACCTACACGCCTGCCTGCCTGCCTGCCTGGCTGTTTGCTTGCTTGCCTGCTACATGTGGCAATGTGGCAGTGGTGGAGAGGGTTAGCTGCCCTCTGTTTGGAGGGGCAGAGCATTCCCCATTCGATTCGAAAAGACACACTGAATAATGCAAAATGCAGTCGCCATGTAATCGCTCTCCGCCTCCTCCTCCTCCTCTTCCACCCCAAAAAGAGACTCCCAAAAGACACACAAAATTCAGTTCCAAGTTCCAAGAAATTGACTGCACAAATCGCAGCGGCTCAAAGCAGGGAAAAGCTGTGCTGCGGCTGAGTGACCATTTCCCAAACAGAAGAAAAAACGAAACCAAAACGAAACGATGCAAAACGCATGTCGAGCATGGGCCTGCACTTGTCGTTGGTCTCCGACTTCGACTGCGACTGCGACTCCACTCCATCTGCAATGCAATGCCCAGAGTGGGCTCCAAATGGCCCCCCCCCCCCCAACTACTGTTCCAAATTTGATTTGCTATGCTGATATATTTTGGCGACAAAACGTGGAAGGAAAAAGGCTGCACAGGCAGTTGAAAAATGCGGAAAACATATTTGGCATAGTTTTTGCCTACTTTTCGCTCTCTCTCCATCTCCATTTAGATTCGTCTGCGTGCCCCCAAACCAACACTCGTTGGCCAAGATTTATGTTCGTTTGGTCCAATAAAATAATTGCCAGCGATTTTTTATGCAAATTGTTTCTTTGGGCTGCTGCCTGCCTGCCTGCCAGCCTGCCAGCCTGCTTGCCCCATGAGTCATATATGTATGTACATACCTATGTGGCACAGCTAAACTGAACAACGAGTAAAACTAAACGATTTTTACGATCTTCTGGGCATAGACGCTACTCTGTGGTTGTTTTTGTTTCTGTTTTATGGCCAAGCGTTTAGTTTTTATGGCAAAAGGGGTTTCTAATTTAGCAAAAAAAAAAAATAGTAGAAAAAAAAGAAGTGCCCCTTGAAGAGGGTCAAATGTGGCATTTGACATTGATTTCAATCGAATCGAATCGAATGGAATGACTCGGGCAACGAACTTGTTCTTGCCACTAAGTTGCTGCTGCTCTCTCCCTCTCTCACCCTCTCTGTCTCGCTCTCTCTGTCACTCTGCTCACTCTGCTCAATGTGTCAAATGTATCGTTTCCTGTCTTAATGGAAAACTTTCACTATTTCTAGGCAAAAAAAAAATATATATAAAAAAAAACACATTTAAAGTCGTTTCATGAAACAAATTTCAGGAAATATTTTCGATTGAAGTTTTGCCCTCGAGGCGTGCGGAACAATACCCTCTCCCTCTCTCAATGAATTCATCGATTATTTAACGATTATTCGATTGTCTGTGGCTGGTTGCTGGTTGCTGGTGGCTCCTCTCTTTTTCTTTTCTTTCTCTTTGGCCAAGCAATTACTTTTAGCCGCTTTTATCCGCTGGATACATCAGGCCTCCATTGTTAACTTCCCTGGCCCCCCCACATCCCATGGAATTCCCAAAGCAAAAGATCTATTGACTGATATTTGGCACGTGCCGTTAATGAAGTTGCCGTTCAATCGAATCGAATCGTTTTGTCTGAAGCAATTACCAAGTCGATTGCCAAGGGGGGGTGGGAACACTACGCTTACAGATGCCTCGAAATATCCACAAATAAACGCCGTAAAAGGTATATGTATATTTCCATCTGGGTGATTCGAATTCCTACATCTGTTGTTCCGTGTGGGCGCCTTAGTTTCTAGTTCTCGTAGTTCTCTGATTTTTTATAACCCAATTCCCCCGGTTGAACCATTTAGTCATTTAATTTATTATCTTCCCGCAGTTCAAATGCTTTTGTTATTGATATTATATTTGGACCCATTTCTTAGCAATTTTATTGGTGGCAAGATATACACACAAACATACACAGATCACAGAGATCACAGAGATCACAGATCAAGCGACATTTATGATCAAGTTTATGCGACGCAGCAGCAGTAACAGCAAAACAGCTGTCAGAGCCGCAAAATGATGCCGATTTTATGGCTCAATATTGTTAGAGATCCGAACCCAATAGCAGCGCCAAACCAAAGAGCAGCTCCAACAGCAGCAGCAGCTCTAAAGAAAATCTACAAAATTAATAATAGTAAAAATATCAAATAAACAGTTGGCAATTTGACATCTTTTTTATATGGGCTCTATGATTTTTGGCATATTGATGGCTGCTAATAGATAGAAAGACGGGGAAAAAAAGGAAAAAGAAAAAAAAAGAGAGAGACCACGAATGAAATGTCAAACCCCAGTGGTGGCGAGGGAAGTAAGAGTGAAGCGGGGGACAGTGGGGGCTTAAAGAGTTGGAGCTCTTTAAAATGCAAAGCGTCTGTCGAGGCAACACAATAAAAGTACCAACAACCACAAAAAAAAGCAACAACACAGCCAAATGGAATATAATGGAACATCAAATTTATTAATTTTTATGGCTATTATTTTTTCTTTCTTTCTGAATTTAGTTCCCCACGTGTATGTGTGTGTGTATTCGTGTGTGTGCTTTCTGTGAGTATTTCGAATTATGTTTCCATTTCTCAGAGCGGCGCAAAGCAAGTGCCAAATTTGGTCTTTGAGAGGTTCTTGACCATCCGAAGCACGTGTGACAGCCAGTGCTCTCTGCCTCCCTCTCTCACTCTTACCACATATGAATTTAGCCTCTCTCTTTTTTTCTGTACACTCAAAGAAAATAAGGTATACTTTACATGGAAGTTGTGCATGAATTAAATATGTTATTTCTATTGAGGTTTATTCTACTTTTATCTCAAATAAAACCAAAATTAAATCTACTAAAAGTAAATTTAAGAGCACTCTGCTTACTGTACACATACATATGTCTCGCAGTGTTACTTCCCATATAAAATCGTATGTCTGTATATATGTATATATCTTCTGCGTTTGTTTTGTTGTGCGTTTTGTGGTTGATATTTTGCATATATTTTGTTCGATTTGAAATGAAGTCACGTTGCACTCGTAAACGTTGATATTTATGTTTGTCATTATTTTTTATGCTCTCCCTCTGGTCCCTGGCTGTTTCTTGCTGCTGTTTGTTGTTGTTGTTTTCTTATAAATAAATATGGTTTCTGTTGTTGGATTATTATTATTATTGTTGTTGCTGTTGCTGTTGTTTGTGGGCCTTAATACACGTGTAGGTGCCACAACAATGTCTTTGTCCCTCTTTGCCCTCCTCTGTCTCACCGTCCGTCCGTCCGTCTGTCTGTCTGTCTGTCTGTCTGTGGCGTTAAACAATAGTTAACAACTTTATTTGTGTGCTTATATGCACTTAACGCTTTTGGCCATTAAAAGGCAACAACAGGCAAGCAGAGGCAAGCAGAGGCTCACGTTTTGTTGCCGCCATTCACCTGAGAAATGCCAAAGCGGCATGCCACAAGCAGCAGCAGCAGCACCTAATGAAGCTGCAGTTGCAGTTTCAGTTGCAGAAGCAGCAGCAGCAGCAGGAGCTGTGTGTCAGTCCACATAAAAGTCAGAAATACCTATGAAAAATCACCAAAACGAATTGCTAAATAGCCGCAAAAATGCACTCGAAATTGTTTAGGCCATGGCCAATTGGAGGGGGTCACAAAGGGGATAGGGGGCGGGCTAAGCTATGGGAAAATAGCAAAACTTATACACTGAAACGTAGCTATTTATTTTTTGCTCTGTGCCGTCAGCAAGGAAATCAGGGAAAATGGGAAGTGCTTTCCATGGAAAGAAGATCGAAATGAATTATAGCTTATGTCAGAGATTGGGGTATGATGAATGGTATTGCAACTGGTGGGGGGGGGAATACCCGGAATTGTCGTTGGTTTGTGGCTTCTCTTTGGGGAAAATCCTGAAAATCTTATAAATATTTATTGGGAAAGGATTGGAAGTCGGAGGGTCAGGCCGAGATGTCATAGGACGAACGAAACACTAAAATGAGTTTATTTAAGGATGGAACCCTTTCAAAATGGTTTCATAGATTTCTGCCTACTATTTCCCTTGAAATATATTTATAATCAGCATTTTTCATGGATTAAGTTAATAAGGGACTAAATGAAATGAGTTGAGAGTTGAGGAGTATCAGTAAAATGACGAAATTTCATGCTCAATTGCTTTCAAGACCTCTCACACCCTTCTTCCCCACAGAACATAATCACTTTCCAAGCCATTTATTCAAACGCCTTGCCTGCCCAGCATATGGAATCGCTTGCAACGCTCAACAGTTGCAGTTGCAGTTGCAGTTGCCGTTTTTATGGTCCCCATCTAAACTCCATCCATCAACACCAGCAACACCAATAAATGGGTCAAATCAATAAACAATAACATAAAACAAAAAAACAAATAACTCAAAGACAAAACAAAAACGGGGACAGGCAGCAGCAGCAGCTCCTCCTCCTCCTCCTACAACCAAAGTTCCCCTACAAATTTATGCAAATTATTATATGTATGTCTGGTATATGGTACGTAATGGCCATTTATCGGAGGTTCTGTTCTGTGCCATCGAGCAGCGTTTATTGACAACGGCATTTTAATGCTCAAAAAAGAATCATAAATAAAATAAAAATACTTTGGTGTGCCACAAGCAACAAAAAAAAATATTAAAAAAATAATCAAATACAAAAAGTATAAAAAAGAAATTGAAATTATAAGTACCTGAACATAATTTCACCTCAGCGAGTAGGGCGGTGGGAGAGGTAAAGGGCAAAGCAGAGAACTCTATAGAAAAATAACCAAAAGAACGAACACAACAACAGAGCAACAGCAACAACAACAACAGGTTCATAATTGAAATTCATGTTTGTGGCCCGTCTCTGTGTGCCCCTGTCAATGTGTCAACAAGAGACACACAGCGAGACCCAGAGAAAGAGAGGCCCAAAAGACAGGTTACCGTTGCCTAGAGAGCTTATTGCTGCTTGGGCTGCTTGGGCTGCCTCCAAAGTCCAAATCGAACTACGGGGCTAATGCCCAAGTGGGAGCCACCACTTAAAGATTCCGCAAGGCTCCAAACAGGCCAGCAGTGACGCGACGACAAGCCACGCATTGTAATGAGGTCATTTGCGTGGGGAGCCCACTAAATGCGCCCTGGACTCGCCGCAACAGAGCGAGGGAAAGAACATTTGCCAACGGGGCGATAGTTGGGGGCCCAGGGAAAACCAATTCGTGGAAATCCACAGTCCACAATCCACAATCCAACGGAGACAATCACTCCTCCACACAGCACAAAGCGAGCGACAGTGGGGAAAACGGAGACATTACTCATATGGAACGGCAGTGAAACAAATATATACATATATACACGAAAATCTATTAAAATTATCACACGCCATATGTTTGACCTCCCGCTTTTGAGCAAACATTATTCACCAAAAAAGAGTTGGGGCCGCCGCCGCCACAGAAAGTCCCCCAAAAACATAACCAGTCGGAAATGGCACGTGTGTATCGACATTTAGATACCCCAGAATTTTCTACTGCACTCAAAATTGCAATGCTCTCTGGGTTGAATAGTGTTCGTTGAAGCCAGGTGTTCAAAGAGCCAAATTACTTTTTTTTTGCCTCTTCTGGCTATAATAATTATCCGATTTCATTCATATTTAACAATTTAGTAGATAAAATAGTTCTTAAAGGGATTCTAAATTTGCTTTGTTTCTCGATTTGTTTGTTTTAATTTCGATTTTTGAGCGGGCGTAATTGAAGCAATTAGATTAGAATCGATTTATATATAGTTGATGCTGCTGCACACCAATGGAACATGTTATTCATATGCTCTCCGAGCTACAGGGCACTCGAAAAGGTATTCCCGCACAGTCAATAAAATGGCAAAAAATGCTGCGGCGCACGGCACAGCTCAAAAAAAAATATTGCAGCTAAAATAATTTGCCATGCTCGTAAATTTTCAGCTCATAAAAAACAGCAGTGAAAACGAGGCAACATTTCTGTTCGGTTCGGTTCGGTTCGGGGTTTGGGGTTTGGGGGTCGTAGATGAATGTGTGGCACGGGGGGCATCCATGAGTCAGTGTCGAGCATTTCTCGAATTGAGTCAGATTTTTTGTGGGTTTTTTGCTTGGCTATTTTTTGGCTGTGTTTCGATCGACACTTTGGGATGATAAATTGTCCCTTTTTGGAGGGGGGGCTGCTGCCACGCCACACACATCATTTGCATGTGAAAAGCTTTCATTGCGGTTCTGTGGCGAGCATAAAACAAGAAACTTGACTAATTTGCCAAATGATTATTATGTTTGCCTAAACAACGCAAAGTGCTGCCATAAATTAGTGGCACGGACAACAGCGTTGTCTGTGCTACGTTGAACAAAAGAAAGATTGTGACAAAGGGGAAGGGGAAGGCAGTTTAATCGACTGAGATCTATAAATAAATCCATGGATAAATCATCTCACGAATTGGCAGACTCGAGAGTTTTGTTAGCACCACTAAAAAAAACAAAACCAATTTGTTGGCCACAAAAACGAAAGACTTGGGCAACGAACTTGCCACGAAGCGCCGCGCAGCAGCAGCAGCAGCAGCAGTTGCGGCAGTTGCGACTGCGCTGTGTCGCTCTGCTGCCCATAAAAATAAAACTTCAAATCCAAATCCAAATCAAAATCAGAATAAAAATAAAACTTCAACGAATAAAAATAAAGAAAGAAAAGCAAGTGAAAAGAAATGCTCAAAGACGGTACATAAAGATAAAGTAGAAGCAGCAGCAACAGCCGCAGGGGGGGACGAGTGGGGCAGCCAGCCGCAGAGTGTGTGGCAAGGCAAGGCAAGGCAAGGCAGGGCGATAAAAGTTTAATCAAAATTTATGGCTAGGGAAGAGCTGCAGAGCCATTCCTCTGATTACCAGATGGGCCATATACCACACGATTTACTAACACTTTATACTCTGCTCTCTGTCTCTCTCAGTCCCCGGAACTGGACTATCGGCACGAGCTGATGGGCCGTCTCCACAAGATAGAGCCCGCCGACGTGGAGCTGGAGGTTCTGGCCGCCACCAGCCACAGCCACAGCCACAACAGCAATGGCAGCCAGACCCCCAGCCTTGCAGCGTCCCAGCAGCAGCAGCAGCAACAGCAACAGCAGCAGCAGCAACAACAACATCAGTTCCACCATCATCACCTGCATCATCATCATTCGCACCAGCACCAGCATCACCATCAGCACCACCACCACGCGCACCACTTGCACCAGCAACAGCACCAGCAGCAGCAGCAGTCGCACAGTCTGCAGAGCGGCGAGAGCGGCGCTGCTGCCACAGACGCGTGGCAGCTGTCAGCGGTGGGTTATGGCAGCACGGATCCCCAGCAGCAGCATGCCGCTGGCTCTCCCAACTCCAATTCAAACTCCGCCTATGCCTGCACGCCCCTCTACGATGGTGCGCCCTACGAGGTGGCTCTGGTCTATGGCGGGGGTACGGCCGCAGCCTCAGCCTCAGCCACAGGTGGTGGCAGCAGCAGGAGCGCTGGCGGGGAGAAGGAGTATTTGTATGGTAAGTCTACCCCCAACCCCTAGAGACAGTCCCAAAAATTACACGCATGGAGAAATCTCGCAAGTCAATAGCGAAAAATGTGAAATCGGAAACCAAAAACCCCCAACAACAACAAAAATCAGACAACAACTTTCAGCCACAGCGAAGTGCAAATGAGCTGCCATATCTGAAAGATACACACCAGATACAGATACTCACCCTCTTCTATAGCGCATCCATAGGCCTCTTAAGACTCAGCTTCAGAGCTGCTGCTCCACCTCCTTCTCCGCTGCTTTGGGCCAGGCCAGCAAGCTCTATAAATAGTCAAACAAATCAGCAGCTGGTTAGAAAATTTCATGCATATGCGCGAGATTTCTCATAGGTTGCCCCTGCGATTGATTTGCATAATGTGTTAGCATTGGATCGATTATAAAGCGATTTCCTCCACTCAAAGTCTTCCTCTTCCTCTTCTTTTGCTCGTTTCTTCGAACACAGAAACCAAAAACAAAGAGACGGCTTCGCTCTTTGCGGATCCATTGGACAATCCGTATCAGCGGCCAGTGCCGCTCTGGGACGATATCACTACCTCAATCCAAAATATCGATCCAGAGAATGCGCTCATGCTGAGTGCCACAACGAATGGTGGCAGCGGCAACAACAGTAGCAGCAATAACCACACAACCAACAGCAACAGCAATGGGGACAATGCAACAACGGTGCAACAGCAACAGCAGCAGCTGCCACAGGTCAAAATGGAGGCACTCGATGAGAGTTTGCTGGAGACTTTCTCAACGCCGCTGCTCAGTCCCCTGGAGATTAAGACAGAGAAGCAGCAGCGACAACAGCAACAGCAGCAGCAGCAACAGGCACAACAGCAGCAGCAGCAGCAATACCAGCAGCAGCAGCAGCAACATCAGCAACACTATCAGCAACATTATCAACAACAGCAGCAACAGCAGCAGCAGCAGCACTTGTACCAGCATCATCCCAGTCTGTCGTCGGTGCTGCCACCCGCTGTCGAGACGGTGGTGGAGTTGCAACTGCAACAACAGCTAGTACAGCAGCAGCAGCAGCAACAGCAGCAGCAGCTGCACAGTGGCAGCAACAGCCCCAAGCAGCAGCTGCAGGCGACGGCGACCCCCGGCGACAACGGCAGCAGCACCTCCTCCTATCAGCAGCAATACGCATCTCAATTGAATGCCACCACATCAGGCGGCGGCTATCTGAACGGTAGCAACAGCAGCAGCAGCAGCAGCGGTGGCAACACGAGTGCAACGGCCATCAGCAGCAGCAGCAGCAGCATCAGCAGCTACGGCTATAGCTGGCACAGCAGTCAGGTAAGTGGCTTGTCTTGCCCCCTCGCGTGGCGCGTTGCCCCCGTAACACAGCATCAATCTCTCTGCCCTCCGTTTTGTTGCAGACATTTCACACCAAATACCAAATACACCCGCCATCCGCAGCAGCAGCAGCAGCAGCAGCCAGTGCTGCATCCGCCCACACTGCCACGCCCACAGCTCAACATGGCGTTGCTCAATTGCAGCAACTGTGCCCCCCGGCGGCACCCAGCACACCCTCTGCCACATCCTCCTCGGCCTCCTCGTCATCGGCCTCGTCGTCGACGCGCCACATGTTCGTGCCACCGCTGACGCCGCCCAGCTCCGATCCCGGTAGCCCCTCAGCGGCCGCCGCAGCGGCACAGAGACGCACCACCCCGCCACCGCCCTACCAGCAAGGACACGGACTGCTCTTGGGTCTGCCACAGCCGCCGCCGCAGCTGCAGCTACTTGGAGGAGTTGGCGGCGGCTCTGCCACCACGCTCACCACCCTCACAGCCTCCGCCTCGTCATCCGCGCAACAGCAGCTGCCCCAGCAGCAGCAGCAGCAGCAGCCCACGCCCGTGGCACCTGCGGCCCCACCGCCACGTTCGGGTGGTGGCTCCTCGGGCAGAAGGGGCCGGCATGCGCACCATCAGCCGGGCACAGCGGCGCACATTGCCAGCCTCATGAGCGTCCGGACAGTGCGCTACAATCGACGCAACAATCCGGAGCTGGAGAAGCGTCGCATCCATCACTGTGATTTCGTGGGTGAGTACCAGTTCCACAGTCACTGCCACTGGCACTTCCTCCTCCGAGACTCCGAGACTCCGAGACTGTAGATCTTTTTAGACATTCGCTGCATGTCGCTCCTCTCGTTTATCATTTCGCGCGCTTTGCGACACTTTTCGTAACAGAGAATCACCCTCCCCCCCCTGCCGCTGCCACTGCCACTGCCACTGCCCCATTGCCTTGTCTAGTGGAATCTGTAGCCTCTGGCTGTACCTCTAGCGGAGCTCCCTCCACGTGCGTTCCCCATTGCGCATGCGTGACGCGTATTCTCCATCGGCATTTATTTATTTCTCTCCATTTATCTATACATTTATTTATTATCTTTCTGCCATCGTCCGCATCTTTCTGTCGCTCACTGTGTGACAGTTTCCTCCGCCGCCCCCTGCCCCTGCTGCTGCGGGGGCTGTTGTGGCGCTTTTTCTATTGCCTTCTTTGTAATTCTAATTAGCCAATTGCCATATTTATGTAAGACGACGTTTCCTACTCCTCCTCCTCCTCCTCCTCCTACACCTCCGCCCCCAGCATGAGCTGTGCCTGTGCCTGTGGCTTTTGTTACAGTTGCAACCGAGCGTTGCAAAGAGCGTTTTCAATGTCATAACTGGCACACAGATAGATCGAAAGATTGATTGAGTCACAGCTGAATGGGATCATTAAATATAAATCTAGAAATCAATGGGGAAAACATTTCCCATCCTGCGTAGAACGAACTTCCATTGATCCTTTCATCTGTGAAAATAATTAAGCGAGCAGGAAATGAATTGAAGATCAACCAACCAACAAACAGCCTTTGGTAGAATCTCTCTATGATGATCATCCCACAAAACGATCTCTAGTCTTCTTTTCCAACAGAATCATTCATTCAACACGGTTCAGGGAATGGGTACGAAATTCCTATGGAATCTTCTGAAGATCCTCCCACTTATACAGTAAAGATCTGTGAAGAATCAGCATGAAATGGAGCTCTGGAAGCTGGCAGTTCAAACGAAGGAAAACCTTCAGGAAGACCTTCCACAGAAACCCCGTCAATTTCCTTCCGCCTTGGCTTATCTTTTTCTAATTCCAAACCCAAAGACATTCCATCAAAAGCTCTTTGAAGAACGCTCAACTAAAGATGCGAGAGATAGTCACATCATCTCCCCCGCCATTCAGCGACTGTGACTGCCTTTTAAATACAACTCCAGCACGCTGCACGCTGTAAGCTGTAAGCTGTACGCTGTACGCTCCAACCAAGTACGCGCGACGCGTATCTCCCGTCCATTAGCCATCGATGGATGGATGGATGGCCAAAAAAAAAAAGCACTTAACAGAGCCCAAAAGCTAGAGGCAATGATTGTCTGGCCACAGATTTGGCCACAAAATAGCGACTCCAAAGCGTAGTCCCAGACGGAGTTTTTGTGTCTGTCTGGGATCGATGGATCGCTTGGCTGTGGGGGTTGGGGGCTGTTGGCTGTTGCCTCTACGTGCGTTGCCACTAATAAATAATTGACAATTGTCTGACACGTTTGCCATGGCCATTTTTAGACAACTTACAGCAACTACAGGCCAGTACGACGAGTACGGTACGGTACAGTACAGAATGCGCGTAAGACCACAAATATTAGACGTGGAATGGGACTCGCGATTGAATGACTGACTGACTGGCTGACTGGCTGAATGACTGACTGACTGAATGGCAAACAAAAATGCTGTCCAAATGAAGTTATTATGCCATAAACGCACGCATCAGTCGATGGGTGAACGGTTTGGCTCTGCCGCTTGCTGCTGCATGCAACGACTGCGGACTGTGCACTGTGGCAACAAGTGAGTTATGTCTGGAGGAGATCGAAGGCGCAGTGCAGGCGATCCTCCGTATCGGTGCGGTGCGGTTCGGTGCGGTTCGGTTCGTATCTATGCGACCAATCACGCGTTCAACTGTCGACGATTGTCGATGCTGGTTGCATGTTGCCCCGTGTGTTGCCCCGTGTGTTGCTGTCTCTCGGTGCAACATTCTTGACTGGCTGCTGATTCGGATTCGGATTCGGGTGCATTGTTTTGCGCGGCACGTACATGCTGCAGCTTTCAATTAGAGCGTACGTGTGCGGAGGCACGGGGGGCTGGCATGGGGCATGGGGCATGGGCATGGGCATCCTTGTAAGTGCCTCATAAATGTCACTGCCTTGCCAGCCACAGCGAGTGCCGATGCCAGTGGCGATGGGAGAGACTTTCTCTCTTAAATGAAGTTCCCCTAATTAAAGGCAGCCAACGCCCAGTGACCCACTTTATCTCATCGAGATGTGGCGTCCCCCTCCCCCCACCACCCACTGTATTTCTATGTTTTATTTTTTTTTTGCTATTTCCTAATCCATTTTCTTTGGTTTCTTGCAGGCTGCTCGAAGGTTTACACCAAAAGCTCGCATTTGAAGGCCCATCAGAGGATACACACGGGTAAGTTGCTTCCACCTTCCAGCCACTCGGGTCACTCGGGTGACTGTCTGCAGGTCTTGCAGGTCTGTGGGGCATGTGGGCTGCAGCTGCAGCGCTGGCAGTGGGCAGCCTTTTGATTAATTCGCAATCTCATATTTGTACGAGTCGCGTAGTTTCTGCCAGCCAGGCCAGGCAAATAATTTGGGCCCAGCAACCAAGCAGAGCCCCTTCGAGCGGAGGTTGTTTTTTTTTCTGTTTCTGATTTGTCTGCCAGTTCACATTTTCAATTTTCAACCACAGAGCAAAAATCGTGATTTCTATGGTTTGTTTTTTTTCTGGCTTTGTTTTTTTTTTCTTGTGGTCAGTAGTGGCTGTTGCAACATCCAACATTCAACAGCAGCAGCAGCAATCCAGCGGCAATCGCCAACGCCATCAGCTGGGCGCACGTTTGGCCTGCATTTCGGCCTGGCCTGGCCTGGCCCGGACTGGCTCCTTCTTCTTGCTCAGATTACACTTGACGTTCGCCCATTCTGTGGATCTGTGGATCTGTGGCTGCTCTCCCCCCCACCGCCTGATGTCTGATGGCCAGATGATGTTGATCACCACCTGCCTTCGCCTTCGTTTTATGGGCCACACGTTTTATGCCCCACACAACAAAAACAGCAGAAAGAAAAACAAAAACAGAACAAGGCAACGGATCCTCCAGTGCCTTCCCTCCCCCACACTCTCCTTTCCGGGTGTGGGGGAAATTTTATTAATCGCACATGACCAGCTGATTTATGCCACAACTTAAAACGTCTGCCCCTTAAAAACATTTTTATTATTACGAGTATTCCGCCTGGGATATTCTGCGCTGCGCTGCGCTGCGCTGATTTTCACTTAAGCGATAAACGTTAACGCCCCATCAAAAAGGGGGGAATTGGAGTCCGGAATGGAGTCAAGTATTTAGTGCTGCTGCTGCTGCTGCTGCTGCTGGAGAAAAGGTCAAAGAGAAGCCAAAAAACCTTGACTCCCAAATGTGAATCTCCTACAGATCATAGCTGAAATATCTATCTCTCTGCCTCTTGGGGGGCACTGATTCCATGCCCAATCTCAACTCTCTCTCTCTCTTTCTAATTTGGGGCAACTCTCAAACACTTTTTATGCCCAGCCTTTGGCTAACACGATCCTTGGAGCCCACTGGGGTCGCTCTGCCTCTCTGCCTCTCTCTCTTTTTTGATTTTTTTTTTTTTGTGCAGCACTTTTTCAAGTGTTTTTGGCTACCGTCTGATGGCTGTCCGATTGTTTGGCTTTTGAGTTAGTTAACGTGCGCGCCACTCCACTCCACGCCACGCCAAGAGACCCCACCCAAGCGCCCCCCCTTGCTCCACACACACACAGCCACACAGCCACAGCCTGCACATTCTTCGTGCAATTTGCGGCACATCTTGAGGCGCCACAGACGCCAGCCCAGTCGAGTGTTGGCTGTTGTCTTTGCTGATTAGCAACGCAACGCTGAGGCAGGCGATTTGTCGATGGGCTGCCCCGATGCGACATTTTGCTTAAATATTTGCCAGACTCATCGAGAGCTGTATGAGGTCTGAGGTCTGTGGCCAGCCACGTTTGTGGCTTGTTTGTTTGTTGCTTCTAATGCGTTTCCAATGGAAAGCCACACAGACACACGCGAAAGGGAAAATCAACTCCACGATGTGCCGCCACACAGCTTCGATCTGAGCCTCATCCTCATCCGTCTGGCTCCATGCGGTGGGTTGCCCGTGGCTCGTAAATTTCTATCTGCTTTATTTTAGCTTTTTGGTTTTATCTGCCTTGCGTCGATTAGACAATCATTTGGTAACTAATCTTTATGCTACGAGCGAACGCATAAATTTCACATATCTACAGGCTACGGTCTCCCGGTCCCCGGTCCCCCCATGCCCCATGCCCCATGTCCCCCCATTCCTGCTACGTCTGTGGCTTATTTTGTACTGATTTGTTTGCTAATATGTTCGCGCTGCCATAAATTAGTTTGATTTTTATGCCCAGCGACCGAGGACTGGAGGAGGTCTAGTCTGGGCACTGGACGGGTGTCCATGGACCCACCGGACTCGAATCAACGATTAGCCTGAGGCTATAGTCGCGAGCAGCTTCAGTCTCCCAGTGCCAGTCCCTGCTTCAGTTCCTCCCTCTGCCTACTGCCTACTGCCTTCTGCCAGCCCATTCAGCGCCTTTTTTTTGGTTTAGCTTTAAATTTATTTGGCCTTATCGGCTGTGGCTGCCACCACAACTAAAATTATGAAGTAATTCTTCGCTCCACTCTGCTGTGCTCCGCTCTGGCTCCAATCTGCTTATCGCATTGCGTTCATCGCACATTACAAAACAACATTTACATAACTTTTGTCTGTTTGTTTGTCTGTTTGTTTGTTTTGTGTTTTTTTTTTTTCTGATTATTGCCAAATTATATTCCCACGGACAGCCTGTTGTTGTTTCTGTTGTTTTTCGGGGAGGTCTTTTTTGCTATTCGATGGCGATTCTATGAGTCACTGAATTTTTGAATCCCCTTACGAAGCAGAGAGCAGAGAGCACACGTGTCTGGAGTTAGGTCTGCGATTCGATGAACACTTAAGTTCATTAAGAGATCTGAATAAACCAATAAGTCACGCCGGCAAAGCCCCCCCCCAAAATAAGTGTCAGACGAGTGGCCACTCGACACTCGACTCAAGAGATCCAAAACTCATGAAACACTCGAAGCCAACGAAACCAAACAAAATTTGTGCGTTTGTCCGCCAGCACCACCAATAATAGGGTATTAATTCTTATGCTCAGCGATCGGAGATGGTCTGTCAAAATTGGTGTTGAATTCAGGGGGGAAAGTAAACTGAGAGCAATGGGCATTCAAAGGAGTCTTTTTGTGGCTCTTTGATTGAATCTGACTCTGAATCCAATTCGATTATTTACACTCGATAATCTCTGGAAAAAACGACACCAAAAATATGTCCAAATAAATCAGAAAACAACAAGCGTGGTAAATATTTTATACAGAGTTATTTTTGGTCCAGAATACTGATGTCTATTGAGGCCTAGAGGGCATCTCCAAAAGTGTCTTTTGTCGTTTGAAATTTAAGTACTTCCACAGCTCACAAATACTTTAACTTTGCGCTCATCCACAAAAATCTCTTTATTTTGTGTCTCTCTTCTTTTTGCAGGTGAGAAACCGTACACCTGCCAGTGGCCCGAATGCGAGTGGCGCTTTGCCCGTTCCGATGAGCTGACGCGACACTATCGCAAGCATACGGGCGCCAAGCCCTTCAAGTGCATCGTTTGCGAGCGAAGTTTTGCGCGTAGCGATCATTTGGCGTTGCACATGAAGCGGCATCTGCCCAAGAACAAATGAGAGCGAAAGAAGGTCGCCCCCCCGGGTGCAGGCGTAGAAGGGGAGCGACCAGCAGCAGAGCAACAACAGCAACAGCAACAACAACAGCAACAACAACAACAAAATCAACTATACCACAATCCAAAGGACTTTAGTTTAGATATGAGAAATGAATTCGTTTAGTTGAAAAGGTTAACTACTACATGGTACTACTACTAATACACACAAACACCACACACATACATACACACACACACACCACACACATACATACACACACACACACACAGAAAGAGAAAGAGAAGACACACACTGTAGGAATCGCTGTGGAGCAAAACTCAAACTAACTCAAATCTAAAACTAGTTTAAGCACTAGTGAAATTACTGTTATGTTATGTTATCCATCTGCTACAACAACAACAACAAAATCTACACCTAAGCAACGCTGAGCACCCCCTAAGCCCCTGCCCTACCCCTACCCGCACTTGTATAAAGATTTCTCTCGCATAAGTTCTAAAATAGTTTCCCGTCATCGTAGGCTTAGATCATAGGCAACAAACAACAACAAAAAAAACATAGTTCATAGTCTGCTCTGTATGTTACACTACATATGTATGTATTCCATGTACTACATATATACATATCTCCCATATAAATATCTATCTGTATTTTTATCTGTAACTGTAACTGTATTCCGTGTACGACTAGTTTTTACCCATAGATCTACATATATGTATTTCCACGTACTATATCTATATATGTATAGATGTATAGATGTATATGTCTAGTTTAAGTGTATGTGTGCGTCGCTGTATACTGTTTCAAACCACCAAAAAGTGCTGGCACAAAACAAATCCAATAAACATTTTTGAAAACCAAAAAAAAAAAACAACTTTCTACGATACGTTTCTCTCACTCTCTCACAAAAAGGGTTTTATTTAGATATTATTGCATATAATTATGTACTATGTACGACATATGTGTAGGAAGCTGCAGGGCTCATTGTTGTGGGTGGCGTAGTAGCAGCTCTCGTACACCTTGCCATTGAGGCCGACAAAGCGTCTCAAGTGCTGCAAATAAAATAATATATTTGGCGCCTGGCTGCTGTTTGCCGCGACTTGCCCTACAACGAGGGTTCCTCCTTCTGCCTCTAGGGCTGCGCCGGGCTTTTTTTCTACGGCTGTGCCATCTCCAGCGGCGGTTGACTGGGAACGCATTTTCTTCAAGCTTTTATTGACTTCTAAATATTTTCAGGTATCCTTATCATTAACTAAGCAAAGATTTGATGTCCATCTTTCTAAATATAAATGCAAAAGCTCGAATCCAAAATTCAAATTAAAAATTCTTTAGCAAAATAAAATTTTTCTACGAGAAATTCTTCGATTTTCTTGCCTCTGTTTTTTTTAAGGCTTTCGTTTGGTAGTTTTGGCGTTGCCAGACTGTTTTTATGTGTGATTATTTGCACCTAGTTTATACGAAGCAGCCTTTCCTGAACAATTGTCGCCATTTCATGAATTTAGCTTTAAAAAAATAAATAATAAAAATAAATAATAAAAATAAATAATAAAAATAAATAATAATAATATAATAAATAAATAATAAATTGACTATAAATTCGAAGCCATTGCAGCATACAATGTGTGCTTTTTAAAATTCTCTATTTAACATTCCGGAAAATGCACCTCTAATCCCCAAAGGAGTTGCCATCACTGCACTCTTTGCTCTTCACAAAAGCCAAGAGTCTGCCCCCCCCTGAAGACACGAAAAAGCCACCAAGTAGACAATTATTTCATTTAGATCAATAGGAATCCAAAGCCGATAAGTGTGACCGCAGGCAGTGTCGCGACCAGGCGGAATGTTTGTGTGTCTGTGGAACTTGAAACTGAATTGCGTTTCGTTGTCATTGCCCCGCGATCATTATCAAGATATTTTGTACACGAATCAAACATGTCAAGCAAATGCGGTGCGGTGCCCCCCTTCAGCGTGCCCCAGCCAAGCGCTGCTGCTTCAAAATTGTTAACAAAAACAAAACAACAATAATAATTTCGATTGTTCGCATTGCATTTCAAATTTCGAGCGCGTCATTGTGTTTTGATTGGAGGCGATAAAAATGCGTCTGCGCTCGAAAAAGGTTAATCATTTTATGTTTTACGAGAATGTGGGATACCATTCAAGTTATGAGGGGGATAGAGGGGGGAGTTGCTGCACGAAGAACAACGGGGGGGAAAGTTGTTAAATTTGTCACAAATTTATGAACATTTTTGAGCAATTAATTTGGGAAACGATTGAGGAATGCTATGTGGAAAATGTCTACAATTATGACATATTTTTAGCTGCATTTTTTAACACTTCAAGAAGTCAGTGTTGCACAATTCTTAGAGTAAAAACTGCCTTTGATTTTTAAATCTTTTACCGAGTTGAAGGCCTTTTGGCCAGCTTTCTTTCTTGCCCATCAACGCCTTAGCTTTAACTCTACCTCATTCCCTGATACACTCTCTGATATGTCTGTCCTCTGGCATACCCACGCATGTGGGCGTTGAGACATTGGCATGCCCCCATTCATCCACATATCCCCATACATTCATCCATCCATCCATCCATTCAATCTTTGTGCCATTCCATCGCTCACTTTGGGCGACCGAACCGCGTTCATTGTATGTACATATGTATCTGTATGTATCTGTGTATATCCAATACCCAGTACGAGTATCTTCAATTGTGGTGCGTTGTGAGCGGCGTTGTGCGGTGCGCTGATTAATCATATTACGACTGACAGCTCAACTTTGCGGCCACAACGGGGCAACCCGCTTATTAAATTGGCTTAAGATTGCTAGATAAACTTAATATAAACGCACACAGACACACACACACACACACAAAGAGCAGCGCTCGTACTCGTTCTCGTACGTGTCGGTATGTCTGAGAGGACCCCACAAATTGATATTATGCATACGAGGTACGAGGCACGAGTACATGCCACAAAGCTTTTTGTCTACAGCACCCACTTGAATGATGAACAATCGAGGGGGAGGAGGTGGTACAGTGGGGAGCGCAGGAACGGCAGGGCAGGGCAGGGCAGACTTCATATAAAATTGATTCGATTTCAGTCGCAGATCGCCGATATGTGATAAACCTCATGATTTCAATTAATTTGTGCGCTTTTGTTGGAGCGACAGATCAGTGCAGGAGGAGAGGAGGGGTGGGTGGGGTGGTGTAGGGGGGAATTGCACTCATTATGCCAGGCGACGGCTAATGTGTAGCCCCGTAATGATATGCACGCCACAGAGAATATGTTTTAATTTGAACGCTAATTAAGTGGGAGAAGGAACGAGGGAGCGGGGGAGCGAGCGAGCGAGCGACTGGCATTCGAAATCTGAAATCTGATTGATTACGAAGGAATATGGCAGAATAGCTAAATAGCAAATGAATTCAATTGAAATGAATGCAATAAATGAGATGTTTTTGGGTTATACAATAATTAATAATTAATGGAAAGGCTACACCTACGCTAGACTGGCACTTGGGATTGTTGTAGGTTCCCATCAAATGATTCGTTCTCTTCTTTAAGCTCCTTATGCTACTCAATGATCACTCCCTCAATCGATACTGTCTCGATAGTTGCTGCCAGATCTCCCTCTCCAGGGTCCATCCCTAAACCACAGCACGTGGTGACTGTACACAGCCCATTAAAATGCCATCAAATATCCCGTTTTTTCTGCTTGGCACACTATGTATATGATTTCCTTCTTCCTCTACCACTAACATCAATTTGGCTGCACCCTGCCGCCTCCGCCACCACCCCCAACGGCAACATCTTGCACGCTTGCAACACCTTTTACTTTCATTCAGACAAGAGTCCAGCTGCCAGGCGGCAGCCTGCCTGCCTGCAACACACCTACAACAACAACAACTCAAGAAACCCGTACGAACCCACACGCCGCGACCAGCGACTACTCAGGCGACTCCTTAGCAGGCTCATCCATTTTAAGCCGGGCCAAAAATCAAAAAAACCAAAAAGCAAAACCTAAAAGCCACCATTAGTGGAAGGAAGCCTGCCTGGAGGAGACGAACAAATGCAGACGACCATCACTCGTGCTCGTGTCGCGCAGTCCCCCAGTCGCAGTCGCAGTCGCAGTTCCAGTCGTGTCTCTTGACTGAATGAACGAGTGACTGACTTGGCAGACAGACAGACAGACAGACATTTGGCTTTTGGATTAGGGGCAAGACTGAGCAACGTGCAGCACAGCTTTTGGCCAGCAGCTCAGCTCCACCACCGAAATCGAAAACGGAAAAGCAAGCGAAACAGGAACCGCAGCAGTGCCGTACCGTACCTTACAGCCCGTACCGCCCCCTGCTAACAGATGCTAACTGGCCCGAAGAGTCTGGGCCTGGTCTATGGTCTATGGTCTCTATGGCAGTCGGTTTTGTATTTTTTGGCCAGACGTGCGCCTGCTTTGCATACAACAATATGAGACACAAGACAAGACACACAACACACACACAACATACACACACTAGAGACAAGACAAGCCTGGCTAAAAACGGCGACAACTATAATTAAGCTTAATTGCTGTTTAATGCGAGTCTGAGCAGCACCGTGTCGCTGTTGTTGCAGTTGCACAAAACAGACAGACAAACAGACTGAGAGACATACAGACAGCCATGCACCCACCCACGCATGCATCCCCACAGTCAGCAGTCAGCAAGCAGTCCACGCAGTCGGACCATTTCACGTATAATTAAATTAAATTTATAATGTGAAATATCAGTGCAATAAACAAACTTAAACCAGGTGTCTGCACCAGAGAGGGAGGGGGCGGGTCGGTACGTAGCTCTGGTTAATTGAAAAACTCAAATCGCACTTATCTCTCACTCGATTATGGTTTTTCGTGTGTCGGGGATATTAATTAGCAATTAAAAATGCAGCACACAATGCAGCCTAGAGCTCTGCTTGGGTTTTCTCTCTCTCTCTCTCCCTCCCTCTCTGGCTCTAATCTGCTGGGAAATAATTCATATTTATAAATAGACAAACATTATTCAAAGTGTCTGATCTGAAGTGCGAAGGGAAGCGGGGAGGTAGGCGGACTTTTGTCCGTGGCTCGAGAACCGTAAATTAAATCAAAATCAAAATGAAAACGATATGGTCCTATGCCTAGAATTTATAACGAAAATGAGAGCCAGAGAATACAGAAAACGAAAACAGCAAAGCGATAAAGGAAATACAGCTGGGTGCATTAGGCGACTATTTGATGCTCTAAGAAGGGGAACAAGAAATATAAAAAGTTGCGAGAGCATAAGTAAAGTTTGAGGCCAGATAATCAAGAAGGCGCACTATGGGCACCTTTCATACCAAAGCGGCACAAAGAAAGATTCCATTAAAATTCCATCACAATGGCGCGCGACGAAAACCACAAAATGTTTCCATAGTGCGTGCTCTCAGACGAGGATGGATGGATGGGCGCATTGTTGTTGCTGAGAGCGCAATGGGACAGTATCACAGAAAGAATTGCGAGAGTAGCGAAGCTCGCAGTGAAGTTTCGTGTACGATTCAGAGAGAGATAGCAACATACAGTTGCGGTTCACGCAAGTGCAAGAATCGGAGCAACGCAGGTAGCAGAATCTGTCGAGTGTGGGTCGCGCATTGTTGTTGTTTTTGTTTTTGACCGAATGAGAGAGAGAGTGAAATGGAATCTAGGAATTGGAAGTGAGAGCTTTTCTGCTCGTCCATGCATTTGCGATTCACTTCATGGCTCGAGGGCATATACTAAACAAAACAAAAATTGCCGTTTAATTCTCTGTTACAAATGTGCAGTAAGCACTCCTGGTTTCCATAGACCTAATCCATCACCCACTCACTATACCCTGCCCCAGAA